TTTTTGTATTTTTTAGTAGAGACGCGGTTTCACCGGGTTAGCCAGGATGGTCTCGATCTCCTGACCTCGTGATCCGCCCGTCTCGGCCTCCCAAAGTGCTAGGATTACAGGCTTGAGCCACTGCACCCGGCCTTTTTTTTTTTCTTTTAAGAGACAATGTCTCACTTTGTCACCCAGGCTGGAGTGTAGCTCACTATAACCTCCAACTCCCAGGTTCAAGCAATCCTCCTGCCTCAGCCTCCCAAGTAGCTGGGACCAAAGGTGCGTGTCACTGTACCCGGCTCTGTAAGATTATTTTGTAGCGACTGTTTACTCCACTAGAATGTAAACTTCTTGAGGGCAGGGGCTTTATTTGTTGCCATATCCCCAGTACTTTATTCTTAGTGCCTAGTATATAGTTAAGTGTGTAAAATACTTGAATGCTTACTACTTTATACCCACCAGATGGACATGAATGAAGCTTGAGAATACCAAGTGCTGACAAGGATGTAAAGCAAGAGGATTCTAGTATCCTGCTGAGAGTGAAAATTAGTGCGTGCGCTTTAAAGAGCAGTGAGATAACTCAAATGTGAATATTCTAGCACCAACCATTTTCACTCCTGACATATAGTTGATATACTTTCGCACAGGTGCTTCAGGAGAAATGCACAAGAATTTTATTGTAGCATTCTTTGTATTGTACAAAAGCACTATACAAAATTGTTCAAAAGCATTGTAGAATTTGGTGTATTTCTCTCTCTCTTCACACACGTATCACAGACATTTTTTAAAATTCTGAATCATTTGGGAATAAGTTCATGACATCATGACCAAATAAGAAAGTTGCAGGATTAACATTTACAAGATATGCAAAATATGCACAACAGTACTATATTTATAAATACATATATAACAAGCAGAAAGATAGGAATAGGAATAATAAACACTGAATTCAGCCAAGTGGCCGCCTCGGGGACAGGAAAGGAAATGTATTCAGGAATGAATACCTGGAAACCTCGCTATCTGGAATATTTTTCTTAAGCTGTGTTGAGGGCACATATTTGTTATTGGCTGTACCTTTTTTGCAAGACTAATATATTTCATAATTTTTTAAAGCATCCATTTATTCCTATTTTAATGAGAGTTTTTAAAAATCAGGAATGGGCTGGGTGCAGTGGCTCACGCCTGTAATCCCAGCACTTTGGGAGGTCGAGGTGGCTGGATCACCTGAGGTCAGGAGTTGGAGACCAGCCTGGTCAACAAGGTGAAACCCCATCTCTACTAAAAATACAAAAATTAGCCAGGCCTGGGGGCGCGTGCCTGTAATCCCAGCTACTCAGGAGCCTGAGGCAGGAGAATTGCTTGAACCCGGGAGGCGGAGGTTGCAGTGTGCGGAGATCGCGCCACCGCAGTGCAGCCTGGGCGACAGAGTGAGACTCCGTCTCAAAAAAAGAAAAGGAAAAAGAAAGGGAAAAAAAGGAAGAAAAGCAAGCAAGTAAAGCAGCTCAAAGGTTCTTGGCGTGGGCCACCGGCAGGTTTTCTCGCACTCTCTTTGCGCCACGCCCACGTGCAACAAGAAGAAACGGCTGCCGCCTCCAGCTTCCAGCAGGGCGGGAAGATGCGCTGCGCGGGGCGGCCAGAGCCGGGCGGGAAAAACGGCAGGAGGGAACTATGGGCCGCGGCGGGCGCCTGCCAGGCTTGGAAGCGGACTGGCAGCCAGAGCCACCGCCCAAGGAAGCCTCGCGTCCCAGGCCCCCCGGGCAAGCGGCTGCTCTGCGGCTCCGGCGCCAGACGGCGTGGGCCTGGGCGCGGCCCTGGCGCGGCGGCGCGCGCGGGGTGAAGGGAGCGCGGCGCTGGCGGCGGCGACGCGGCGGTTGCTGCGCCGGGTACTGGGGTCGCTGCCGGAGGCGCAGGCGCCGTGGACTCAGCGCGCCCCGGGCCTGGGCTCGCAGTGGACTCGTCATGGCGACCGAGCAGAGGCCTTTCCACCTGGTGGTGTTCGGCGCCTCTGGCTTCACCGGCCAGTTCGTGACCGAGGAGGTGGCCCGGGAGCAGGTGGACCCGGAGCGGAGCTCCCGCCTGCCCTGGGCGGTGGCGGGCCGCTCCCGGGAGAAGCTGCAGCGGGTGCTGGAGAAGGCGGCCCTGAAGCTGGGTAAAGGGGCGGGCGGGACGGGGCTGCGCGGTGGCTGGGCTGGGGACCCCGCGTCGCCCCAAACCAGCGTTTCTCCGCAGGGGTGCGTGTCCCCGAGCCCTGCGTGAGGACGGGAAGAGGAGAGGGAGGGATGTTTCAAGTATTGCCACAGCTTTGTTCCACCTCCTTAACTATATACGTGTGTGTGTGTGTGTATACACACACCAGGGATACACACTGAATACACACACACACACTCACTCCCTCCTGTTTCCCGCTTTTGCATTTCTGTCTCAGTTTGGGGAGTTCCCCTGGCGAAATGGCCAAGAACTTGAGTTGCCCCTCTCTCTGCTTCATCCTGCCCCGCCGCAGGGGCACCTGTTGAGTCTGCGGGTTTCTTAATATTTGGTCGGAGAGGAGGGGAGGGCTTTGGTCTCTTGGAGATCGGAGTCTCCCTTTGCCTTGTGTTTTGAGGACGGGAGAGCACACTTAAGAGTTGTATTGACAGTGTCTTTGTGGCTATTCTGTTTTAGTTTCTTTTTTGTGTGTAAGAATACTCCAGCAGTATTCCTCTTCAGAGAATAAAAAGTGTGTATATCTGGTTTAGACACTTACTTATTCTAAGCATTCAGGTAGCATATATTCATCGATTCTCTAAGCATTCAGGTAGCGTCTATTTATTGAGTGACCTTGTCCTTGCTGAGACCTGTCCCGAGTCTGGGGTGCAGGATGGGACAGAGAGGAGACAGACGCAGGGATCCTGCTGCCTTCATGGCTGGGGAGACATCTGACTTACGACTCCGTAGCCTTTAAATTTGGCTATTAACTCCCCACCGTAGATTTCTCTTATACAGACACCCGTTAGAGTTCTGGAAATACTACATTCTTTCTGTTTAATCTACTTTCGTACAATGCCCTGCTCGAAATGCTTTTTGTTCGTGGTTATGTACAGAAGACACCACGTAGGCTGGACTCTCCTACGGCTTTTGATGCTCATACTACCAACACGTAATTCTGACCAAAGAGCTTTTTGGTCGTTATTTTTCCAAGAGAAGTAATTTCACTATTAAATTATATGCTTCCATTTCTTTTTCCGGCTCAGCAAGATCGTACTGGTACAGCCTAGTCACTTACCATATATAATGCCCAAATCCAGTTTTATTGTGGGGGATATACCTTCACCTATTGAAACCTGCATCACTTAGTTGAGCCAGTTAATTCCAATTATTTTCTTATGAGCCTGTGTGTTTATGTAGCGTGTGCTTTTCACCTCAGAGTTCTAATTTTGTTTGTTTGTTTGTTTTTTGTTTTTTTGCCATTCTCCTGCCTCAGCCTGGCGAGTAGCTGGGTCTACAGGCGCCCGCCACCACGCCCGGCTAATTTTTTGTATTTTTAGTGGAGATGGGGTTTCACCGTGTTAGCCAGGATGGTTTCGATCTGCTGACCTCGTGATCCGCCCGTCTCAGCCTGCCAAAGTGCTGGGATTACAGGCGTGAGCCACCACATCTGGCCCTAATGGTTTTGATGTTAACAGTCAGTCCGAAACTCTCCATCACCTACAACTAAATCATGCATAGTGATTGTTTAGTAGTTGATGAGGAACTTTGTTTTTTTAAAGACAAGGTGTCATTCTGCTACCCAGGCTGGAGTGCAGTGGCATGATCACAGCTTGCTGCAGCCTCGACCTCTGTGTCTAAGTGATTCTGCCACCTCAGCCTCCTGAGTAGCTGGGACTACAGGCGTATGCCACCATGTCAGATAATTTTTTTTTTTTTTTTTATTAGTAGAGACAAGGTCTTGCTGTGTTGCCCAAGCTGGTCTGGAATTCCTGAGCTCGAGAAGTCCTTGGCCTCCCAAAGTGCTGAGCCGCTGCCCCTGGCCAAGAAACTATTTTTATGACGTAAATTTCTTGTTGGAGAGGAAGTCTGGATAGTTATCTGGTCAGCATTTAAACTTGATCGTTAAATTGTCGTGTTACACAGGGTTGTTATTTACACAATGCTTTTATTAGATTTTTTTTTTAAAGGTCAGGTTTTTAGTAACGCTTAGTGTTAACTCAGTTTTCCTCATAACCTTTTCCTTTTTTATTACCTGATTAAAAACAGTTTTATCTTTTGTCTAAACGGGAGAGCTAGCTTTCAGTATATCAGTGTATTTAGTAATTTGCTGGTCACTGATTACTATACAAAGAAGACAAGCAAGATGTAATCCTCTACCGGAATTTTCTTTACTTCATTTGTTTCTTATTTTAGGAAGACCAACACTGTCGTCTGAAGTTGGAATCATCATTTGTGATATCGCTAATCCAGCCTCGCTTGATGAAATGGCTAAACAGGCAACAGTTGTCCTCAATTGCGTAGGACCAGTAAGTAATCAACCCTTCTTTGTATCAGAACAAACAATCCATTCATTTCTAGCAAACTATTCCAGAGGAACATAAGGGCAGAGGACAGAATTGTTGGTTGAAGGCCTTAACCCCATATGGGGAGTTTTTCCTTCTTGCGAGGAGCAAATGGAGATTACCAAAGTCTCCTGAGAGAGATTGACAGGCTCTCTATGACCCTATCCTTAGGGCATGTGCACTGGCTTGTTGATTGGTTACATCTGTGATTATCAGAATTTTCTTTCCTTTTTACTGTCTACCCCTTCAGTGTGTATCCCTGGTATATTTTTTATTTATAAATTATATTCTTATATTACTGGGTAAATATATTTTTTAAATGCACAGAAAGAATAAAAAGGACTCATTTATTGAATGAATATTTATTGATACTTACCGTATGTAAAATGCATTATTGCAGGCACGTGGGACACAATGGTGACCGAAACAGAAAATCCCTCATGGAGATTACATTCTTGTGGGGAAGACAGAAAAATAGGATTGTAATAGGAGGTAATGAAAAGTGCTTTGAAGAAGAGTGAAGCCGAGAAAGGAGAAAAGGTGTTGGCATGTCGGTGTTTTTAGATAGATGGTCAGGGAAGGTTTCTGTGAGGAATTGACATATGAACCAAGATCTGAATGAAATGAGAGCAAATTGCATGAACCTTTTGAGGAGAGGCTTTTCCAGGGAGAGCAGGCACAAAGGTCCTGAGACGCAAGTGTGCTTGGCAAGACGGAAGAGTGTGACAGAGGCCAGTGTGGCTGGGCAGGGCAGAGAGGTGGAGAGTGGATCAGAGGGAAACCCAGGAGCTGGGTCGTGTAGGATCTTACCGGCCGTGGTCAGGACGTGGGTTTTTCTTCCAAGTGTGACCAAGAGGTGTTGAATGGTTGAAAGGAAGGGCTTCATCTGATTTAAATTTGAGTTCTTTGGCTTCTGATTGAAAAAATAGATAACAAGGGATGAGCAATGGAAAGGTCCAAGCACAAGCCCTGGGGTAGTAGTGGTAGAGGTGCTGAGAAGTCGTTAGGTTCAGAGTATATTTTCAAAGGAGAACAGCTTTTGCTGTTGTACTGAGTATGAAAAAGTCATCAAGTCGCAGGCCATCAGACTTTTGGCCTGTGTAACAAGGTGAGTGTTGGTGACATTTAGTGATCTGAAGAAGCCATCACAGTTGGCAAGATGTTTAAAAATTAAACTTCTAAAATATTAATACTTTTTAATTGAGAGCAAAAGGGTTTGTGAATTGCTATTAAATAAAAATGTTGTGGATTTAGATTCATCTCATTCTTAACTAGCTTAGATTCCATCCATGAGGTCCACTGCTCCACTCTGTAATGGAGGCCCTCATCCATCTCCCTTGCCTTTTTCTCCTCAGTACTCTGGAAAAATCCCAGCCCTGGTTATTCTCCTTACCTTCTCTTCACCTGAACGTGAGTAACCCAATGTGGCTGGAGAAAAGTATATCCCCATGCTAACTGATCACCCTTCAAATATGTGTTTACAAACCTCGTGTGGTGCTCAGCACCTCCAGCAGCTCTGCTCAGGAATTCTCAGGAATTCTCTCTCCTGCTCTCTGAAGTAGCTCACAACCTTGTTTTCCTTGCACTTTTAGTATCCCATCTCTCTTTCCTTGTTCTTATCTGATTTTTTTTTCTTTTTTTTTTAACTATGAAAATAGAAGCTGGTTAATAACAGAATTTCTTTCTTCATCTTCCTACCACCAGATCTATCTACCTACCTACCTGTCGGCCAATCCGCATCGTACCCTATAGTCTGCTGTATCTCTTGTTCCAAGGAAAAACTGGTCCTCTTCCTATTGGACACAGTTTTCAAAGACTTTATTATCGGGGGAACCAGCCCCCAATATTTCAACATAGGTTCTTTTCTATTTTCCGTAAGTGTCGGCTGGTCTGAGAAATAAAGAGAAAGAGTACAAAGAGAGAAATTTCACAGCTGGGCCCCAGAGTTATTCCAGTCACACTGCGTTTGCATGCGGTGTTCGAGACTCACTGCCCGATCTCCCAGCCACGTAACAGACTGTCTTAAATCATTAATTTGATTAGCCAATTTTTGATGAGTGCCTTGTTGAGGATTCCACATTTGGGTGGAATTGGCTTGCCAGTCATTAACAAAATGAGCTGTTTGAATAGATTGACGTAACGCCATTCAAGCAGTGGTTGCTAGCGCAGTGACTGTAATTAGGCCCATGATCACAGCGATTAAAGTGAAAACAAACCTCTTAGATCTTTTTAGACTTTGCTGTAATACTTCATTAATTAAACGTATCGAGGAGGAAGATTCCCAAGGTCTGGGCAAAGTTACTGGAATCCAGATTCCTTCTCGAGCTCGAACCAACATTACACTTTTCCTGGAGTCAAAACGGGAGTTAATGCAAGTGTATAAATGACAGTTAATGCATTGGACGGTTTGTTTGTCCAAATTCTGATGTTTCCCACTAACAGCATGTAAGGAGGCTTAACACAGCTCTGTATGGGAACAGTCAGGTTGGAGGTAAGCAAAGCAGAATGTCTCAATCCACATTGATACGGAGATGGGGGGGACAATAGCGGGGACAACAGACAGAAGAGTTTCCCCTTCCCGTAGTTGCAGTCCAGACATGGCAATAGCCAATTTCCAAAGTTCGGGCTCAGAATGGGGAATATCATATGAAGCCTGGGGTGATAATGCCTTTATCTTCCCATTTTAAGGGAAAGAATGAGCTGAATCTCCTATGCAAAGTAGAGGGATGATTCTCGTTCTCCCGTAAGAAATAAAATAAGTAGCCTCTGGGCATTCTTTTCTACCAGAGGAGCAATGGTTTTTTAAATAGCCCTTTGGTGCCCAGTCTATTTCTAAACCATATGAGTCATTTTTAAATACTACTGCATGTGAGTTAACATAGTCTTTCCAAATTAAAGTTTTAGATGGGCCCTCAAAATTTTTAGGACATGGTTTTCCTGCAGGTTTATATTGAAAGTATGGGGTATCTTCCCTTACTCCCCCTTTCATTTGTCTTAAAGGAGAAAGGGAGAGGCCAGAGACTGAATGTCCCAATTCCTGTGTAGCTGATTTCTCCGGAAGATAAGCAGCCCAGACTTGAGTTTCTAGATGGATACAACCAGGTGCACGTCCAAGGCACTGAGTGGGTGTTTGTAACCCATGGTAACATTAAATGCAGTGCCGCCTTCTCCTGGTTAAGTGGCGCAATGGTCACCTGTAGCTCCGGGCATCCATGCACTGTCGTTAGTGTAGATTTCCGCAGGAGCGTCCATCTGGGTGAGAGGTTGAATAAGTGGAGGGAAAGGCACATAAGCCCAATGAGAATAATTTTGTGTAGCAGGTAAATCAGTGTGAGAGGAAACTGGTGAGACACAAAGTATAAGAAGGAGAATCATTAAATAAAACCTAGTGTAAGCGAGATCCAGTGCTGAAGGAGGAAGAGAAGAGCAGAGGGATGTTCTTTTCAGGCTGATAGAAGTGGTGAGATTTTTAGGTTTGTAAGGAGAAAAAGAAAGGTAATTAGGAGAAGTGGGATGAGTTAGATGGGTCTCTGTTGCCATGAGGGAGGATTGAACCAGACCCATTTTGATTTGCTGTGCCTGCTTCTGAGGACTTGGCACAGATCTCACCACGTCTGAGGGCGGTTTCTGACACGGACGTCTTTTCCCTGTGGTTTCATTCACATGAAGTTTAAGTCTTTTAGTGGGCACCCAGGAAGGGGACTGATGATCTCCTGGTGAAACAAAGCATGTCCTCTTTCCCACATTAAGCGGAATCAGAGACAATATTTAAAGGTTTGGGGAAATCCTGTAAGGCAGTGATTATAGGAATTAACTCTGCCTTTTGAGCAGAGGTATAAGGGGTAGAAATAAGCTTGTCTGTAGGACCTACATAACCAGCATTTCCATTACTGGAGCCCTCAGTGAACAGCGTAACAGCCTCAGGAATGGGCTGATCTTTGGTCAATCAAGGGACCACCCAAGATGTCATTTTTATGAAATCAATTTTTTTTGGATAATGATTGTCAATAACGCCAATAAAAGCAGTCAAGTGAATTTGCCACAATGTGGAATGTTGAAAAACGGCTTGAACTTCGAGCCGATTTAAAGGAACTATGATTAAATTCAGATCACATCTGGAAATTTTAAGTATTCTACACCGAGCTTGTCCAATTAGACTGGCCGTTTGGTCCAGATAAACAGACGAAGTTTCTGACACAGAATGAGGAAGAAAACACCACTCTACTAAATCATTATGTTGAACTGTTAGCCCAGTAGGGGAGTGTAATGAAGCGAAAACCAGAAGCTGAACAGGCGAGACGGCTGTACTCTAGATAACTGGGCGGTCTGGATTCTTTCCTCTACGAATTCCAGTTCTAGTGAAGCCTCAGGTCAAAGTGCTGGGACTGCGGAGATTGGAATCTCCACACAGCACAGAAAACAAGTTAGCGCATATGTTGGAATGCCTGAAGTAGGTCTTAAATAATGTTACCCCGAAGTTTTTGGTAGTCATTTAAAGTTTTTAAAGAATTTCTCCTAATTTGAACTTTCTGAGGTTGAATACATTGTTTATCAACCACCATTCCTAAATGTTGAACAAGAGTGGTCTGTTGAATTTTATCCTGAGTGATGTGTAATCCAGCCTCTGTAACATGGCGGCTTAAAATTTGATAACAGTCTATTAATTCTTTATCAGTGGGGGCAGCAATTAAGATATCATCAATATAATGAAGAATATAGGCCTGGGGAAATTGAGCTCACACTGGTGAAAGCACCTGTCCAACATAAAGCTGACAGATGGTGGGCTATTTGGCATTCCCTGAGGAAGTACTTCCCATTGACAACGACCTGCAGGCTCCTGACTATTGAGAGATGGTACAGTAAAGGCAAATTCTTCACAATCTGATTTATGTAAAGTAACAGTAAAAAAATCTTTAAGATCAATAACTATGGGAGGCCAATGTTTAGGTATTAAGGTAGGGGCA